TTTATTTAATAAATATATTTTAAACATATTATTTTACGTCTGATATGAGATATTGTCTGTGAGGTATGATCGTGGAATATAATGTATGTATTTATATCACCGAAATCTATTTAAATATATTGTGTGAATTTTCTAATTAAATTTTGTGTGTTAAAACATTATATTAAATTAATATTTAATTATAATAATTAAATTATTTTAAAGTTGTAAAAAAGTGAAATATAAATAAGAATTATAAAAATATGGGTATGTATAAAAATTACCGATAAAACTTGTATAAATTCAATGTGAGTTGCAAATGTGTTGTTTATAAATATTTCTGACATATTCTTAGAGAATTAATAAAATAATATAATTAAAAATAATAATAAAAAATAAATTAATATAATAAAATATTAATAAATTAGTTAATATAATAAAAAATAATAATAAATTAATTAATATAATAAAAAATAGTAATAAATTAATTTATATAATAAAAAATTTAATTTGTTTATCCTATTTGTTGTTATATGGATTGAGATGCGTTCAAGTTTAGTTTAATCCTTACGAATAGATACTTAGAAGGAAGGGATGTACTGTAAAAGGTTCTAGACGCTTATTAAATCAATATATGAACTGATCAAATAATAAAATAAATTAATAGAAAAAGGTATACATAATATTTTATTGAACAACATAAACCATAATCTTCCAGGAATTAATAGATATTTTTCCACTTATAAAGGATCCATTAATTCGGATAATTAGAAATATCTACCGAATATCTTATATATTTCAAAAGTCTACTGTACCTCGAGATATTTATCCAAATATGTAGGATATCTGTATCTTATCCTTAGGGCTTTTGGCAAGATATAGACATTATTCTTTATTATTTTTATTTTTATTTTTATTAATATTAACTATTCAAATAAAAGTCAATCTTATGTTTGGTACATGAATTTTATTGTTTAGAGACAGTTTGAAATTTTGGTTTCATAAAATTGATTAAACTTTTGTTAAAGAAATTAAAATATACTAACAACTTAACAAGAATAAATAGAACAAAAAAAATTAATAATTTGGTAATCAGTCTCTTCTTGAAAATCGAATTGCACCGTTAATTTAATCAAAATCAATCTAAAAATAAATTTAATATTTTTAAAGAATCAAATTTTAATTAAACTGATCCAACATCAATAAAAATAATTAAATTTTCGGATCGAATAATTTTAATAAAAAATTAAAATTCTAAATTTATTTTAAATATAATTTTTTCATAAAAAATATAATATTTTTTTAGTTTTTTGTTATTTGTTTTATATTAATCATATTAATTTTAAATAATAATAATAATAATTTTATTATATTTTCATTTTATTTTATTTATTATTTGTGTTCTATATATTTTATATTTACAATGTTTATTATAATTTATAATGATCATGATTATTATTATTATTATTATTATTATTATTATTATTTAAATATTATTAATAATATTATTATATTAAATCCTATTTTATCTTTGTTTTAAAAACATTATATAATAGTATCAACTTCTTATTTACCGAATTCCAACGCACTTAAACAGGATTGTTTTTCAAGAATAAACCATTATATAGTCCCTAAAAGCATATATGCATTGTAACATTAAAATTTCCTAAATTTTATTTCATTTAAGTGTCGAAATTTAATAATTTATTATGATTTTTGTCTAAAATATGTGAATATAATTACTTTAAGTGATGCTTTTTTGAATTTTAAACAGCTTGACGAATTACACTCATAAAATGGTTATGTATTTTTAGGATCAAACTAGTTATTTATTATATTTTAGAGTAAACGTCTTTTTAAGAACTATGACGTGCTTACATCAATGAAATACTAGATGATGTAATTCAAAATAACATTAAAATAATAAGACTCGAATGCAAATGTTGGTTATTATTTTGATATATCTTGAAGTTCTCATAAATGAAATTCATAAACATTATAGAAACATGATAATTGGTCTGTCAGAAACATTTCCGTATTACAGAACTGTAGGTTCACATGATGTTTTCCTGGCAGGAGCTAGCACAGTTTTAGTTTTCTAGATAAAATGGAAACGGACCCTCCCCAACAACACACACACAACAACAATAAAGTGGATGAAATGACCCATTAGGTTTAGGTCTGTCTATGCACGACCAACCTAAGAAGATAGTTTATAATCGATTGTCTATATTCCTGGCCACACTTACTAGAATGTTTTTTTTTTTTTTAAAACGTCTTCTCTACTTAACATGGAGATAGACAGCATTAATTTAGCATATATAAGGAGTGGGCCAATAGGGGCATACCCTTTCACAAGGTTTTAGACTTCACTCCATTAACACATGAACAGAACTCAAACATCATTCATTGAATAGAACTATAAATTGCAGAGAGAATGTATATTAAAATTATTAGTAAAATTGGTGCTGTTAGGTATGATTCATAATGATGAGAAAATTATAAACTTTATTGTTTTTTTTTACTATTATTGTTCTCTTTCTCATATAATTAAATTGATAATTAATTTTAATAAATACATAAATATTATACTTATTTATATATTATAATATGAGATTTAATCACAACTCTTGACTCAAAGTTGATTTTTTCTGATATAATTTTTAGAAAAAAAAAATTTATATTCTAACATTATTAAAGTTAACTTTAATATTATATTATTCTTTTATATATATATATATATATATATATATATATATATATATATATAAGATTTTATCTTAATAAAGATTTTTCATCACACTTCTCATCATGAAATATACTTCCTCATGTTGAATTTTTTTTCATCAATTACTACTCCATAATTAGTTATATGCAACTCTGGCAAATTTTTTTATGTCATGTTGAAGATAAAATTATATTTTAAATTAGAATCTAATTTCTTTTCTCCCTTTTCATTCAAACTAAGCAATCTCACAATATTAATTATTTTCGATTTTTTTCTCTATTTCTTTCCCAACAAACCAACTTAAAATTTCACCTTATTCTCTATTTATTTTTCTCTAACTACCAAAAGAAGGCTATAAGGAAAATTGACTCTAATCCAAGTTGGCCACTTGACCACTATCCCAAAGTTTTATGTCCACACCAAACCCTATTTACATTTCCAACCCTGCACTTTCTCCTAACCAACCTGAGAGGGAAAGGCTAATTTTGCAGCTTTTGGTTGGGTAGAGAGTACTTTATGGGAATTATTATCCAAAGCCGAAGAAGTCAACTAAACCATGGTCACCCAAAGAGCCAAACTTGTTGTCAGGGTAAAAAGAAATGTAGGCCCCTAGACAAAAAAGGGAACATGATAATGGGCCCACCCGACCCAAACTCAAGCCCACTTGGACTTTCATTTTGTTGCGTATTAGCGTCAGTGCTTACTCTTCTCCAATAACACACACACACACACTCTCTCTCTCTCTCCTTCATCATTCCACATACTAAAACATATTGCCCCAATTATGTGGGAGCAAAATCATTGAAATTCCCTTTACTTTGAACCTGTTTTTAGTATTTTATTATGCTCCTCCTCTACTAGGTCAACTTCTCAACCCTATGTAAATTCTAATTTAATGCCCTTGTAAACAAGTGTTTTGACTGTATTGGATATTTATTTCCTTTTAATATGCTTTAATTACATAAAGTACTAAGTTTTTTTACCACAACTTGTTCATATTTTTATGTCCTTAATTGGCCAGACATTTTTCTGCATTTGTTATAAATATCTCCCAAAAAGTGAGCATTAAAATTCAGAGATTAATATTTAATGTTATATACGGTTTATAGGATTCTGGAGTAAAAGAAAAACACTTTTTTATACTAATTAAGATTACCTTAAGTGAGCTTATTCTATAAATGATGATTATGTTTCAGAATTTGTAAATCTTAAAATATTTTACATGTTCTTTATCTTAAATATAATCAAACACCTAACGATTCACTAATTTTTTGTTCCAATTAAACTCTGCTACTTTATATCAATGTTTTTATAGGGCCTATTTGTTTATTATTTTAAAAAACAATTTTCGATTTTTTAGTTTTTAAAAATTAAAAAAACTCATTTAATACCTATTTTGTTTGTGTTTTAGTTTTTTAAAATAAATAAATTAATAAAAGATATTTTTTATTTCAATTTTATATTATCATTAATGGATATCAATGTTTTTCTTACCAATAATTTAAGTAATTTTTTAATACAAAATCAAATCATTCCACATCATCCCTAATTTATACGATATTAAGAAGTTTATTTATATGATATTAAGAAGGTTGTGAAATAGTAAAAAGTGAGTATAGTTTCAGTAACATCAATTTTCAATCACTCTTATTTATTGATTTGGACTTCACTTTGAAATACTAATTATTAATTTTGAATGTGGAAAATATTATAAAATAAAGCATGATCAAAAGGAAAACAAAAATGAATTCTCATTCTAAGTAATTAACTTAAAAAATTTACTAAATCGAATTAGCAGCTTAATAAAGTAATCAATGTTTTGATTTCAATAATATATATATATATATATATATATAATATTTAATAAAAATTATTTCCTTAATTTTTATAAATATTAGATTTTTGTGAGGGACTAACGAAAAATTGTCGCATACTGAAACTAATCATATATAATATTATTTTCAACTCAAAATCTTAAGATAATATTACAAATTTTTTTTACATATAAATTTTTTAACATATTTTTATCTGTAAAACTTCAAACTCACGTTTAAATTCTAAAAAAAATAATTAATATGTTAGTCTCTTAATTTTTTACTTTAAGATAACTTAGGTTGACACAATAGTTAGTTAATTAAGTTAATAAAAGTATGTAAATTGTAAAGCTTGGAGAGACGAATTGATTTGAAGTGTATTAGAATTATTAAATGTGATCCGTAAATATGATGAGAAGAAATGGTGCAGGAAGAAAGCAATGATGAGGAAAATCCATGTGTAAAAGCCGTGGAATGCCATGCGTAGTGTATATAAGGTAGTAAGTAGTGAGGTGGGTTTGGTCCCAAAAAGGAAAAAAGAGTATGATGGTGAAGTTGAACCAAAGGTGGTGTCCATTAACCATGATATGGAAGGAATCTTGAGCATGTGGCAGAAAGAAGAGAAAGAAGTTTTTGTTCAAGTTGAGTGGAGTGCACAGGGCATTTTCTGGCCTCTAAGAACCTGCCATCTGCACCTCTCTCTGCTTCGTTCCAGATACTCCCCCTCTGCGCCTAACGCGTTTCCTTTGCTTTCACCTCAAACCCATCGTTCTTTTCAAACACAATTGCCAAATTTTAGATATCATACTTTTAAACCTACCTTCTATCTCTTTTACAACTCAACTTTTCTTACTTGTACCTACCTTTTCTAAGTAACCATATCAATCACTACATCCCCTCCTATATTCTTCATTTTACAATTTCATTACCACTTTTTTCTTCTTTCAAAACTTCAACAAATAACTCAATATCAATTTTATTAAAATTATTAACAACTTCAACATGATACTTGTATATATAGGAATCAATTCTTTGATATAGTTAATAATTCTAACAAATGGTTGAACTTGTTTTATGATTAAATTTTCATCAATAAAGTTTATTAAAATATCATTGATATACTTATTATATTCAATCGTTTTTAATTTTATCCATAATGGGTAAACAGGTGTAATTCAATATTTAAAGGTGTAATTAGGGTATAATTAAATTTAATAAAATAATATTTTTATAATATAATAAATATATAATAATTTCATTAATAATAATATTTTTTTATAGAAATATATAATAAAAGTTATTATCATCATTATTATAAGTTATAAATATAAAATATTTTAGAAAATATAAAATGACAATAAATTAAAATCAAAATATAACATAATTAATATAAGATAAAAAATATATATTATCTTTTATAAAAAAAAGTGTTTTATTAAAAAATTTAATCTTTATTTTATTTTTATCAAAACTAATTCGATTTTTTTTTAATTTTTTCAATTTTTTTAATCTTATTCTAATTTAATTAAAATTTAATTATTTAAAAATAGCTTTCTGATCATTAAATAAGGATTATATTTTGATTTATTCTTAATGTTTGAATTCTATGTTTATCATAATTATTTATTTGTTTAAGAAAAAAACTTATTTAAACATAGTTAGTTGGTGAAAATTTGTTTTATAATTTTTTTAATAGTTAATTCTCAAACTTCTTTTTGATAACTTAATTTGTTCTATTATTACTCCAAATATAATTAGCGAAATTTTCTCTTGAATGATTTTTAATTAGATTCAATTTGTGATTCTATGGTAATCATTTTATCGCATTAATTCATTTGAGTATTATGATGTGTGAAAAATCGAACACTTTAAAAAAGAAGGCAAAATCTTAGTTATGAACTGAACTTTTGTATGGTTAGATCTGGTCGGTGCATAAAGAAAAGAAAGAAAGAAAGAAAGAAAATAAAAAAGAGATTATTTGAATTAGATGAAAGTTAAAATAAATTTATTTAAGATTTAAATATATATTCACACTATATATGAAAGAAAAGATGCATTTCTCTTTCTCAAAATTTACACTTTTTGAATCATTAAAATCGTGTTTTTTTATTCCTCCTTAGCGTTTTATTCTGAGACACAAACACTTCGAAAGTCAAAAGAAAAAACTATAACTTATTATTGCTTTGACTATTGAATAAAGTGGATTTTTTTGGTACTCTATCTCTAATTATATTTCTTATTCTATAAGTTTAACTTGATGAATTAATGTAGTAGTTAAAATATTTGTAGTCACACATATAGTGAAGACAATTAATATAATTATTGTTCAATGTCTCAACCATATTCAAAAACTGGTCCAATCAACAACAATTATGATACTACAAAAATATATATATTTTTTCTTTTCTTAAAGTTTATTCAGAAAATTTATATATATATATATATATATATATATATATATATATTAATTGAGTGAGTGTTTTCAAGTTAAGTTTAAGGTTCAAACTTTTGTAAGTAGAAAAAATATAAAAAGGATATTTTTATTTTAAATTTTTAATTTTTGTAATAGGTGGTAGAGTGAATTTTGAATGACGTATGTGAAGTGATTGAATTGGAATTGCTCATCAATCTCTTTTTCACATCACATTCAAATCATGCAGCTTTTGATAAATTATTCAATCTTTTTCTTTAACTGACTCATTCAAACCGGACACGTGGCATTCACTTGGGCCTATGAATCTTTGCAAACACACCCATGATGTTCTTGTGCTATAATAGGATCCTACGCGTTCCATTGACACTTTCAATATCAAAATCTCAATCCCTAATCTCTCTACCCATCACAATAAAATGCACCAAAATAAACTGGTCAATTTTTGACCTTTTTTATTTTTTTTTGTCTTAATGAACACGCCTCTTTCTTAATAATCACAAACTGATAAATACTCTGGATATTAAACAGGCTTTTAATTATAAAAAGAGAAATGTTAGTATGTCATACTATAATTTTAATACACTATTTATTATTAGTTTAAAATGATTAAATTACGAGTAAGAACAAAAAAAATACAACTATAAAAGATTGATATAAGTTTCAATCAATGATGAAAAAACATTTAAAATAGTTTGTTAGAAAATGTGTTGGTAGCATTTGTTTTAGAAACATAAACAAATAAGTTGTTGTTCGTGTCTTTGATGATATGTTAGGTATTGTATTTAATAGTCTAAAAAGGTTGTCTAATTTGAAAAAGGTACCCCACATTTACGTTTTCAACTCAGCTAATTGTGCCCTCCATGTGCCTCTACATTGCTCCCCTAGGACACATAAGGGGCCATGGATGCAGGGACACTCTTCTACAAAACCTTGGAAACTTATGATGAACACAATCACTTTTTCTGCTTCACTAATCAATAGGGTATCTCTCTGTTCGATCACCCTTTTCGAAACCCTTAATTAATGGGTTGCGTGTCATTCCTTCTGATGATCTTAACTACCCGCTACCTGTTTGTGCAAATGCATGAATGAAATAAAGTAAAAGTGTTGCGCTGCGCTGCTTCCTTGAAGATTGTAGCCTCCATGCGAGTGAATGTAGGATAAGAAATGAACATGATTGGAGGAATTTATAGTAATTTAAGTGGGTGTTACACAAGGATGTTAGTTGGTAAGGACAGTTAAGTAGTTTTTTCTGGTAATCCGTTGCTAGGACCAGGAATCCACCAATTGTTTTTGTTTGGATTACTTTTCCATCACAAGTGGAAGCACCAAACTTTCATACTACCCATATACTTTTAAGCTTGTAAACATAAAGAAATGGCAAGTTGAAGCAACTTTGAGAAGGGTTTTTGGATTGCATGGAGATGTGTATGTGGTGATGCATGTGAGTGTAGCATTTGCATCCTTAATGTTTTTTGTTTTAAAATTGGTAACATGATTGTTGGGCAGCAGTGGATTGAACAAGGTAAGATAGACATAGTATTTTAAAATTTGGAGAAAACAAAGTTGGAACAATATTTCATGATGCGGATCCCAACTGCCATACATTGGTTGGGGGCGTTGCAGTTACCCATGTTTGGATTAGACTAATCTTCCCATCATGGGCGCAATTCAATTATTAATTGCACAGGATTAAACTGTTCTTACTTTTCAATTAAATTATGCTTAGCCACACCCAATCAAACAATCCCTCCTCTCAACATAATTTGAGGATCATGAGTGCGGGTTGCGTTGTTATACTTTTATTCTAAAAAATCAAGAGATCGAATAATGATGTGTCTTTCTAGAAAGGTGCAGCCAGAGGTCAGCATGAAATATCTTCACCATTTCACATTTTTCAAAGTAATTTTCCAACATTTTTCAGAAAAAATATATCTTTCAATCTAGGAATTCCGACTTCATTAACAGATTTTTGGGAAAAATCATTATAAAGATTAACAAGCATCATCGATGGGACTGATTTATTAAAAATATTAGTTGTTTGAAGTATTTTTTATTAAAACAATCTTATATCTCAAGTTTAATTTTTTTTTATAATTATTTCTTCAAACAATTTATAATAAGAAGAAAAAATAATTTTTTTAAAATTTATTAAAATAAACTTTTAATAAAATGAAATCAGACGTGAATTATCTACAAGTGACATTATAATAATTTATTCTTTTAGTTTTTTTTTAAATAAGAAATAACTTGTATAAGTTCTATATCTATTTCTCCAATAGTTTTATTATATTTATCATTAATTATATTATATTAAAAAAATATTCATTACTTAAAAAAACTTGATCTAACATGTTCTAAAAAGTTTGTTGACAGACACTAATGTTATCCGAATTTGTCATATATTTGTTTGAATAACATAATATTATCAAATGTAAAAAAATATTATAATAAATTTATCATAATATTATAAATATAATGATCCTAGTCATGGAATTGAATTTTCAGTACTAACGTGATTATATGCCACGACTACTTTCTTAACTCTAGTTTATACACTGAATTAATCTTAGTAAAAAAATAAAATAAAAGATTCACTAAATTGGGATTATGGTAGGGTTTAAGTTATTTTCCAAATTAATATGAAAATAGAGAGGATCATCTTTGGTTGAATTACCTGAAACTGAAATGTCAAGGTCAAACTAAAATGTGATGTTGATGAATTATAAGTGCTGAAAATGATCTCTTGTTATTTTGTTTTCAATCATACATGAGTATATGATTAAGGATGAACGGTAACGAAAAGAAAGGAAAAAGATTACACATATATATTATTAATTAGTGTTAAGCATGTTCAACCATGTGCACACATGGAAGATCGTTGCCATGAAAAGTGACAAATGAAGTGGAAATGATTCATGGTGCATGGTCCCTCCCATGTGTAGGTCAATCCCAGCACAAGGGTTCTATCAATTTTCTCTGATCTCATCAACAAATTAATTGTTCAACTCAACTCCACTTGACCCGTCCATTAATTGAATCTCATTAATAGCATTTCAATTTCAATCATTGACATCATTTCTCTTCGAAACATGGATTTGATTCTTCAACCAAAGCATTTATTGTGTTGTTGCCCTCATGATTTTAATCTCCATAAACAATGGCTGCGCATTTCATGTGCTCACTGCAACACCAAATACTAACTGCAATTATAATTATAAACTCTCTATCATTCTAAATTATTTGCATGCTACACTTGCACTTACTTAAATATGTTTATTAATTTGCTTGGTTTATATATACTCATATATCAATGACATATCTATAGGTTACAACGTGTATTAGCCCTAATCATGGGTCTAAACCTACTTATTTTTCCTCCTAATCAAATGTCATACATGTGTTCTGTTGTCTCTCATAATCTAATAAGCTCGAATTCAATAATAATATATGGGGGTTGAATTTTTGTAAAGGAATAGATTCTTTCATGTAAAGATATTTTAGTATACACATTTCTTTCTTTCTATTTTATTTGATGTTTAATGTTTTGTTAAGAGAACTAACAAATGCAATTAATATTTTAAACTTTATAAAAAAAATTAAATTTTTTTTAATATGCATTCCTTGTCTTTTATAGAAATTAATTTTCTTTCTCATTTATATTTTTTAAAGGAGTTTTTGTCATTTGCTCTCTTAGTTTTTTCTGCTGCACTTTTGTATATCCCCATCTTCTTCTATATACATATATATATATATATATATATATATATATATATATATATATATATATATATATATATATATATAATAAACACAGTAGAGAACTCAGCCAACCAAGATATTAAAATTGAAAAAGATAAAATTTGTGAAAAGAATAAAATGGTATAAGGAGGTAAGAAGCATAGGGTATATTTTGTATAAAATAATGGGGATTGAAGTAGAAGTTTGAAGTAGTCGTATTATTATTGTACATAAAAACCAACTTTTGATATCATATGTCATTGTGCTCTGTAAGATGAGATGTGACTGTGACTATGTATGTCTCCCAAATGTACGAACTCCACTTTCTGTGTTTTCGTTATATCTGAGCCGTTTCTTGTGGAATTCTTATCATAAAATGCATTATGCATGAATCCTCAAATTAAGTGGGTCGGTTCCTTCCTTTGTTTTTGAGTACGTAAGAAGAGCATTTCAGAAACTCCCATACGCGTTGCAACCGTTAACAACCAACCACTATTAACACTAACAATAATAATCATGTATATATATATATATATATATATATATATATATATATATATATATATATATATATATATATATATATATATATATATATTTCAATTCAGATTATTTGTTATTATTATTATACTATACGTTATGATTCAAAATCAATATGATTATTAAGTTAGCTTATATATAATATTAGTTATTTTTTTAGTTTAGTCTTAAGAGATTAGAAATGAGAAATTATATATTTTATTAAGACTTCAAACTTATATAATAGATAGATTATAAGGAGATTTACAATAAATATTTGATACAGTTAAAATTGGAGATCACACGGAAAACATAAACCATATTCATTATTTATTTATTTTTTCAAATGTCATCCATTTTATTAACCTAAACTTTATGAGAATAAATAAACCTAAAACAAAAAAATAAATTAATTATTTTGTATCCTATTTTCAACTAGGTATTAGTAGAAAGAGAAAAAATATCTTTTTCTTTTTTTTCTTTACTCTTGTCCTTATTTTTCTATTAGATGATTATATTTTCCTACGTTCATAAATTTTATATTATTAAAACATCTTTTAAAAATAAATAGTGATAAACTAAAATTTTAAAACAGAAAATATGTTAAACTGAATAATAAACCTTATCAATATTATTAATTATTGTAAATAGAACATGATATTTTTATCCTTGAATGAATAATAATAATTTTTTTTTAATTTCTTTTTGACTATATGAACCTAGCTACAACATTTTAAAAGTTGTTTTGAATCCATTTTAGGTCCACCTAAGGCTTCTTATCCTTTCTTAATATAGTGGAACGTTATCATCTTATATCTCTTACAAGATATTTGACCTAAGTTTATATAATCTATGATATTAGTCCATCGATATGTTTGTTTAATGTTTTCGTGAAACTTGGTTAAAATAGGACTGAAATAGAACACAATCTATGAGTCTACAGAGTCATAACTAAAAAAATTCTCTTGTAAAATTAATTAAAAAAAACAATGATGTTTGTTTTGAGGTTGTGGTAACAAATGCTTATAGAAGATTGGTTAAGGAATAGAAAACTTTTTTTGCCAAAAGAATGCATTAAAATTATGGTTGGTGAGTGTAATGTTACAATTCTTAATAAAATGAAAAATCACTTTTAATTAGCGTTTTCCTTATTTTAATAATAGAAAACCGGTGAAGGGGACACGTGAATGTTCATGAATCGATTGGTGGGAGTTAGTGTGTTAATCGTTTGTTGCTGCTTAATCCTAAATGTAATTATGACCACTCTTGACAATCTATGTTTATGGCTTTGTGAGTGAATCTAAATCATTAACTCACCTGCCGACTATGATAATACTAAGATTCCACTTTACTTCCAAAACCATAATTAATGTAATTATAAATTTGTTTTCAATGAATTTTTTATTTTTATATAAAATTCTCCTCGTAAAGAATATTTTAAAAAATAAAAATTTATGTCAATTGTTTTTTTCTTCTAAACATTAGCACAAAATATGATTAACTTTTACTTATATTTAAGTTTTATTTCACAATTACTAATGTTTAAGTTTGAAGTAAAGATAAAGTTGAAACTTTTACAAAAGGGAACCATACTTATATAATTTTATTAAAGTAATCTCACTCTCTTTATATTCTGATGATTGAACGATTATCACGTATACAATACTTAAAAATTCATTAAAGTTGAGGTGATTTACATGAGAATAAATTAAGAAAAAAACTACGAATATGTTATTTTATCAATTTCAAAATATAATAATGTTTAAAGGTTGTCATTAATTTGTATTATTATCAATAAATTGGTTAATCTTTTTCTATTCATACCATTTTCTTCCTAATATTGTTATCTACCAAATCACTTTTAATAAAGTTTTTAATAAAAATTATTTAGAAATAAAATTGAATATTTTATTATAGGTCTTACAAATGAGTTATTCAAAATTTGATTAGAATTATTTATATAAATAAGTTTATTCCAATTTTAAACAATTTTTCTACTTTTGAACATATATTTAATTTTATTTTAAGTCACTTTAGTTAACAACTACTTTTCGGAGATGTTGTTATTATATTCTCCACAATAAATATAATTTTATCTTAAATTTTGTAAATGTGATTAAGAATATGAATGATCTTAATTACAAATTACAAATAGTATAAGGCTTATGGGGGAAAGGAAAAGGTAGAAGAATGCGAAAAATGATTTGGAAAATGATTGATTGGATCATGGATTGCGTAACATGCGGGGCAGCCGACACGTTAATCGCATAAGAATGTTGCATTAGTTTATGCATCATAGAATAATGAAAAAAGTGGTGATCTTTATCAAAATCGGTCTCTAATGTATATACATTAATGCGTTAAGTTATTTGAATTAAAGTTTAGGGAGAATTTTAGAGTCATCCATGACATGAAAGAGAGTAAAATATTCGAAATGTTGAAGTTATTGGGGGAAAACATAGAGAGGATATGGTTGTTAGCACCCATGATAAGCCGAAAGCCAGTTATTAGTAAACAATGTGAACTTGGTCCTTTGAACCAAAAACAAACTCACAACAAAAACAAATTAGCAATATATATAATATTAAAAATGTGATTAATATATTGTACTTGACAAGAAGAAAATCTTTCTGCTGCAGATACGCTTGCATTAAAAAAAACAACACATGGAGACCTAGCCATCGTTTGTCTCCTAAATAAGGTTGTAAACTAAAATTTTTATCGCAGGTATATCGTGGCTATTTATTAATCTTTCACCTGGTCTCATGTAAATGTATTTGTATATTTGTATGTGTATGTTAGGCTACCTAGATCTATCACCAACTTTTCAATCTTCAATGAATCTTCATTTTTTAAACTCTTTCCTCTTTTCTCTTGCAGCCTGTTACTTTTCAACAATCATATCAAATTATCAGCTCTTCATAATTAAGATGAAAGAGCCAAATTCAGTAAACATTGTTTTTCAACCACCAGATCTATAAAAGTGGGCTTATACAAACTAGATATTTAAATTATGTTTTTCTCTTAAAAGATATTTAAATTACAACATTATATATTCAACCTTAAACTCCTTTCTTTTAAAAAATAATACACATACTACACTTTAATTAATTCATTTTAATGATATATATATAATACAAAATTAATAAGGATCAAATTGAAATGGTGAAATTGACTGCAAGATGTATTAGAAAATATAAGTATGAGTCTAAATTTTATGTAATTTAAGAATGAGAAATTTGAACAATATATAAAAAATATAATCTATAATTTAATGTTTTAAAGTTTTGGGTTGAGAATAATATAGTTCTTGTTATTGATTTTGAAATTGAGATTTAGTTAAGTTATGATTTTATTAATGATTTGAAAATTGGACTGAATGGATCCCTTAAGTGGGAATTGGACTAGAAATCAATTCCTTGTTTTTAAGTAATTAAATTGGATAAGACTAGAAAAATCAGGATAAAATTGAAAAAATTCAAAATTTAAGATAATTTTTTAATATAATTTTTTTATAAAAGACATAATATATATATATATATATATATATATATATATATATATATTATCTCATATTAATTATATAACCTTAAATAATAATAATAATTATTATTTTATTATATTTTTTACATTTGTAATTTTTATTATAATTTACATTAACCATAATAATAAATATTTATTATTATTTTTTATAAAAAGGATTATTACATATTTGTTATATTATAAAAATTTATTTTATTAAATTTGGTTATATTTCCATTTTAAATATTTGTTATATTATAAAAATTTATTTTATTAAATTTGGTTAGACTTCAATTTTAAATATTTATCCGTTCAATGTTTATTTTAAAAATATTAATTTTTATTATCTCAATAAATGAAGAAAAAAAAGTATATTTTAATTATTTTTATCCTCGAGATTGTTGTGTTAAGAGATTTTGGTATATTGGCATAGTTTCCAAAACAATAAAAAGTAGAATGTTAAGAATAAGAAGATATATGTAGCATGATTCATGAAGTTTATGAATCGAATGAAATGAGTTGTTATAGTATTTTCATTTTCTCTTTTACATATGTTTGGGAAGAAGGTGGTAGGAATCAAATGACACTGTATAGTATATTTCTGAATATTTATTTCCTCTGGTGAGTTGAATTTTTCTAATGTTAATTTCAGGACGGATTTGTGAATCTTTCTTGTTTATATCTTATTAAACATGGCGATTTTTACCTGTTTCTAACATTATGGTGATTGTTGTCTCCATGTTTGATGAAGATGTGTATGATATTTCGTAATTACTTGCTTAATTTCTTTGCAAATGGAGTTATGACAACACAAAACGCGCGTCGATTACAAGCTGGTCCACGCTAGTAGATGCTACCAGAGGTTGTGTGTGTGTGTGTGGTGATTATGATGTATTTACCCATTGGCCATTAGACATAAAGAAACAACAAATATCTGCTCTAATATGGTTTAGTTGCATCATGCATTACATCATATTTTGATTCCTTTTATTACCAAAGTTTAGGTGCAAAATTCTGTGTATGGAAATGGTTATAAAAAATATCATGCATAATTTTGTTTCTGTCTCTCTGTGACTCTTCAAACGAAGTGTAGCCATTGAAGCAGTAAGCGGAACTTACGTTCATTCCAAACACAGCCTTACACGTAGCAGAGAGTGAAAATTTGTCAACATTAATCCTGCCAAAGCACAGGAATATTGTTTGTTCAGTAGGCTCCAAGTGTTTGAAAAAGTTAAGGAGAATGAAGGATGGTCATACTTTTTGTTTTGTTATCTTAGATTATTGACACTTTGTTTTGGTATTTGAAATGCAGTGTGTAGGTAAAATGTTAGAGAAGAAGAAAAGAAAGGGTGGAGAAATGGTGAGGCATAAAGGCGCAGGGGGATGGATAGTTAAAAGGAGGGGGGAAGCGTGTGGGGCAAAGGGATGTGACGTGAGGGAAGATTTGAAGAGAAGAGGGGGAGAGAGAGGGCAAGAGAAAAGGCCACGTGTGTTGGGAGTGACATTGTGATAGAGGGAGGAACGCGGGGTTCGACGTGTGCAAAAGAACAAATGGGTTCCCCACTCATCCAATCCACACTCAAAGGGAAGGAAAGCCCATTACTAGTACTCCTAATGGGCCTCTGCTTACCGTATTTCTTCTTCATGTGTGATTGCTCTCAATTTAAGGAACCTTCCCCGGATTATAATCATAATTAAAGGAAAAAAAGATGATTCATAGGCGCATATAATAAGCAGAGAGAGAAAGGGAAAGAAGGGGGTCGTGGCGTTGTATCAGGGCCCTATGACCCACCTTGTCCCATTCACTTATTGGCAAACCTACCTTTTATGAGTCCCCTCCTCCATTTTCTTAATCCTACACGTGGTCTCCTCCTACATGTCTCAATTCAACCTCCATCCCCTCTTGGCTCACCCCACTATATATATCCCATATCTCACTCCCCACTCTCCCCAACTCACTCCCATACACACACACACCTCTGCCATCTTCCAACTTCCAATTCTCTCAATACTCAAACATCAAACAAACGCGCCGATTCTCACTTCTTCTTCTATTCCACCACCACCAAAATAGAACAACACCAACTAAAACAATCTCACCATGCCTTCACCCGCTTCAAACACTTGGATTAACACCACACTCCCATCTTCTTGCTCTTCCCCCTTCAAGGACTTGCCTTCCACATCTTCTCCCACAACCTTAATTCCATTCAAGAAAAGATCCTCTGCCAACTCCAACACCATCACATGCTCTCTTCAAACACTCCACTTCCCCAAACAGTACCAACCAACATCCACATCCACATCCACATCCACCAAACCCACCACCACCACCACCTCCACCACCCCGACCCGGGAAACCAAGCCTCTCTCTGACACCAAGCAACCATTACCTCAAAAATGGAACCTTCTCCAGAAAGCCGCCGCGACAGCCTTGGACCTTGTCGAAACGGCGCTGGTCTCGCACGAGCGCAAACACCCGCTACCGAAAACCGCCGACCCACGAGTCCAAATTGCGGGCAACTTCGCGCCGGTGCCGGAGCACGCAGCGGAGCACGCTCTCCCGGTGGCCGGAAAAATCCCCAAATGCATTGACGGCGTGTACGTGCGCAACGGCGCGAATCCGCTCTACGAGCCTGTCGCCGGGCACCACTTCTTTGACGGCGACGGCATGGTCCACGCTGTCAAGTTCACTAACGGCGCCGCCAGCTACGCGTGCCGCTTCACCGAAACACAGCGTCTGACCCAAGAGAAATCTTTAGGCCGCCCCGTGTTCCCCAAGGCCATCGGCGAACTCCACGGCCACTCCGGCATCGCCCGCCTGTGTCTCTTCTACGCGCGCAGTCTCTTTGGGATCGTCGATGGGTCCCACGGCATGGGCGTGGCGAACGCCGGTCTAGTCTACTTCAACAATCACCTCTTGGCCATGTCCGAAGACGATTTACCCTACCACGTGAGAATCACCTCTAACGGCGACTTAACCACCGTTGGCCGTTACGACTTCAACGGCCAGCTCAACTCCACAATGATCGCGCACCCCAAAGTCGACCCCGTTGACGGCGACCTCCACGCGCTCAGCTACGATGTCATTCAGAAGCCTTACCTCAAATACTTCCGGTTCTCTCCTAACGGCGTCAAGTCCCCCGACGTCGAAATCCCCTTGAAAGAACCCACCATGATGCACGATTTCGCCATAACGGAGAATTTCGTCGTCGTCCCCGACCAGCAGGTGGTGTTCAAACTAACCGAGATGATCACCGGCGGCTCCCCCGTCGTGTACGACAAGAACAAAACCTCACGGTTTGGGATTTTGCATAAGAATGCCAAGGACGCGAATGCGATGCTGTGGATCGACGCGCCGGAGTGTTTCTGCTTCCACCTCTGGAACGCGTGGGAGGAGCCTGAAACCGACGAGGTTGTGGTGATTGGGTCCTGCATGACCCCTGCGGACTCCATTTTCAACGAATGCGACGAGAGTTTGAAGAGCGTGTTGTCGGAGATAAGGCTCAACTTGAAGACCGGCAAGTCGACTCGCCGCCCCATTATCTCCGACGCCGAACAGGTCAACCTTGAAGCCGGCATGGTCAACAGAAACAAGCTCGGAAGGAAGACTCAGTTCGCGTACCTCGCTCTCGCAGAGCCCTGGCCTAAGGTGTCGGGATTTGCGAAAGTTGATTTGTTCAGTGGGAAAGTGAAGAAGTACATGTATGGAGATGAAAAGTTCGGTGGGGAGCCTCTGTTTCTTCCGAACGGTGAACACGAAGATGATGGGTATATTCTGGCATTCGTGCACGACGAGAAAGAATGGAAATCGGAGCTGCAGATTGTGAATGCCCAAAATTTAAAGCTCGAGGCTTCCATCAAACTCCCCTCTCGCGTTCCTTATGGTTTTCATGGCACTTTTATTCATTCAAAGGATTTGAGGAAACAAGCTTGAAGCAGTGAATGGTGAAAGCGAGGAGAGATTTAACTGAGGGATGCTTGCAGATACGCCCCCGGAATCTACTCCTCCTTAAGTTTTCTGTTGCAGATTTTTATTTTTATTTTTTCTTAATTTTTTTTCTATAATTTGGGGTTAATTTTGAGTGAAAGGTTTTGGGGACCAGCGTGTAGCTTTTGGGTGTAGTTAGCAATGAAGCTCAGCTGGTCTCTGCTTTTCTTTCGCTTGAAGTGCATGTAAGTATAAGGAAAAGAAGAGGGTACATATACATGTATATCTCTCTCTCTAAATATCACAGTACTATAGAATGTGATATACTGTCATCTGTTACTGTAAACTCCTGTTCATCACTACAGTTTTCTGCTGTAAATATCAGAAATAATTAATCATACTTCTTGTTTTGTTTCACTATTTTTATAATTGTCCCTCTAGTTTCGTTCAAATCCTTGTCTTTCTAATGATTTGCAAGAAAGGGAACAAATAAAAATAAAAAGGTCACCTCTGAATTCATTGACTACCTGCCTTTTTGCCTGATTCAGTCTCAATTAATGGGAAATAGTATATATTATTAATACACTACAGTTAATTACTTTTAAGAAAATTGTTTATTATATAGTATTTTTATACAAGACAAAATTTTTCTTACTACTATATAATTTAAGCAATTGTTTATTTCTGCTTTATACAGGTTTGTGTCAGTTGATCGATCGGTAAAAAAAAAAAAAAAGTTGTTTGTTTGTGCCGGTACTGTCTAGGTGTAAAATTGTGCAGAAAAGCTAAAACTGTGACAATTTCAGTGGTGCCCTTTGTGGTGAATCACATTTAAATGGGAAATCGCGTGGAGTAAGACCACGTCCTCATCAGTTCAAAGTTTAGATATTGCAAAAGATGTTAGCACACGAAGGGATATTGGTTGGTTGGGTAAGCACATGCTAAAATCGTGAGAAGCGAGTGTCCAATGAGAACCATACAATTGGGCGAGAGCAACTTCTGCCCGCCATAAGTTGATGAGTATGATACACGTACATGGCAATATAAACGACTGTCAAATCGTGGCCAGAATATCTATATATCTTCAGGTAAGGTGGCAAGTCAACTTGCAAGGGAGGAAGAAGATTTTCACGAGAATTTGGTTGAAGAAGGTTGCAAGCAATGATATTTATAGTGATGTTAAATGGTGTTGGATTGGTGAAATGAAAGAGAAAAAGGGGTATAAAAAGTCAAGGGAATTTCGGGGGTTTTTATTGGTAGATTGTGGGAAAAACATATAAGTTGACACAACTATAGAGCACAGAGACCTGACAAACACATGATATATATATATATATATATATATATATATATATATATATATATACATATATATATATATATATATATATACATATATATATATATATACATATATATATATATATACATATATATATATATATATACATATATATATATATACATATATATATATATATATATATATATATACATATATATATACATATATATATATATATATACATATATATGCTTTTATTCATTAGCTTCAATTATTGTGGAGGGGGCTCTCCACACGTCAAAGTGCTGTGCTTCCTTGCTGGGAGGGTCCAACCTTTGGCAAAATTTCATCTTCTAATGAAACTTTTCATCATGTCAAGCAAGCAACTTGGAACAACAAAGTCTCTCTAATTAGTCATTTCAAGAATGTGGCCATTTATATGCCCTTTGTTGTTTTTGCAGCAATGTGATTCGGCATGTGTGTATTGCAGTTTCTTTGTTCAGTGCTAGCTTTTGCAATTCCTTCACTCATAGTGCAGCTTGTCATGGTCTTTTTTTGTTTTTATCTTCACAGAGGAGTGCTCATTGTGCTTCCTACACTCACTGATGTTGAACCCAACTTGAGCTTTGAGAGTCACACCCTGTCATTCATAATGCCTTCAACATCCATCATCATGCATTCATTCCCCACTCTCCATTATATTGCAAACTATGCAATATTAATGTGCAAAACATACTCTTAAACCCTTTTCTCATCACAATTCTAGCAAAAGTTTTGTCTAATTAATTGAATCTCAATCATAGTCACCTAACTAACACCCTCATAAAAAAGGTAGCTAGCTTGGACTAAAGTTGATTTATGGTTTATCGTTGTTGATGAATCTTGGCTGTTGGGTCCATAAAATGGAATATGTCTGTGGAAGGAAAGGGAACCAACAATTACATCAATATTAAAGTTGATTTCTTTGTCACCGAAAAAAAAAAAAAATTATACTAAAGTTGGTTTCTTCTAATTCTTGTCCAACACATGGCAACCACCAATTTGTTTATGTGGAAGTTAGTTATCCGTCAGATTTCTGTTTTTCAACACAGTAAGTTTTCCTTTTCATTAGTCAATGTACTACTACAGTTCTCTTTCTTCATTAGGCTTTTATGTTTACGTGGAAATAATTAATAACATAGCTTTTATAATTAATAGGAATATATGTTAAATTTGTACTACAATAAGATATTTTTACTTTTGGCAATATTTTTGCTCATAAATGTTGGATATGGATTTTGGACATGCATTTTAAAGCACGGTGCGTGTTTCTGGTTTAGTAGTCAGCAAAAATGGCTTGTAGAGAGAAAATGTGGCTACCATCAATTTCTTCTTACTATTACAAGTTCTGTGAAGGCTTTAGTTTACACGTGATTTCTTCTATAAACTTGGTTAAAAGAATGTTAAAAAGGTTAATTTCTATGTATACAAATATAGACAAAAGTGAGAAAGGAATAAGTGCCGAAAGGAGAGAGTCCTAACACAATGAGTTACATGATTATTATTATTATCATCTCAAACAAAAACACCAATAATGTATGACTGAATGGCATATCATAGAAGTGCATTTAGAACAAAACTCCTGACAATTTTACTTTGACCAGCAACGACATTTCGTGACCTTCATTGTAAGTTAGCATCAAACAATTATTAAACCCACCAAAAGAATTGTAGATTGAACCAAGAGTTTTAAATCAACTTTTCATTGCATAATTTCAGGCATGCTGTAAAAAGGTGGCAGGTTAAAAGGTGGCAGGTTGCAGGTTGCAGAAATGTTTTTCAATTTGGCAAGTAACCATTTTTTTAATATGATTTTCTTAATATTCTGGTCAACACATCACATTAATCTACCCTACATGCGAAAATAGCAAGTCCATATTCTTCAGTATGTTCCTAATAAACTTAAATTAGTTTTCACATTGGTCGTGGTTATGTTATACCAATCTGACACGGTTCCACAATCAGAATTAATTAAATAGTCCTCTATGATGTGGAAAAAAGAAATTATAAACTTATGGTAGTAATCGTAAACAAGTTGCAATTTAGTTCCAAGTTAGTAAAAGATTGCAACACAAATTCCCATGTTGGTTTTAACCCACAGAAGCTGCTGCATATTCTCGTACCAGTACTTTTCTGCAATGCCCATATCATGAAGTTCTATGGCTGTGGTTGAATCGAAGCTTCATGGAATAGCTCAGAGTTGTATTTGGCCACACAATTAGTGAAAGATAACAAACGACAATTTCATATGGGAAAAATAAACAGGAAGAAGATATTGTGCAACATTTAATGTCACGATAGCTACGCGTAACGGTGATTCAATATCGTGCTTTTATTATATGATTGTGAAATAAATATACATAAGTACTTTCCTATGTCTTCCCACAATTACGACCAAAAATTTTTCTTTTCCCTCTAAAATTGCATGCATATATATATATATATATATATATATATATATATATATATATATATATATATATATATATATATATATATATATATATATATATATATATATATATACGTTAACAGACTTGGATGTATATAAATTCCTTTCTTTAAAAAATTCAAATGTTATTAGTATGTTTGTTTCGAGATTTTGTCACCGAATCATTGTAAGGAATAACATAAAAAAACTATATTTGTTGTAACTAAGTTTTTCTTCAAATTAAATTCCACCATGATAAAAATGGTAACATCTATGCCCTGATAGGCTAATTTTATTATAAATCTTTAAGAGCTTCATATGTTGCTGTAGTAATACATTTATTTATATATATATATATATATATATATATATATATATATATATATAAATGTATTACTACAGCAACATTTTTTCTAAATTATGATCATAAAAGTTATAGAAGATCAACATTTTGAAAATTGTTTTGCTTATATTTTGGATTCTACCTCTCACTTCTCATAATTTTTTTTTACCAAAGTTAATATAAAACTGAAATTGTTCAAATAAATATATGATATATAAAACAAATATTGCGCCGATAATGTCTGTCATAAAAAAGATATTTAACTAAAAGTTATTTTTATATTGATTATTCAATATACAATTTGTGTCAATTTAATTATTTTGTTTAAAGTTAATTGGATATGTTTTTTTACTATGAAATCATGTTTGACTTTTTAATTTGAATCCTAAAGTGGGACAACAATAACTAAAATAAGTATCATAATACTAAAATGAATTTTATTAAAATCAATATCATAATATTAATTAATAATGATGGATTTTATTAAGGAAATGCGTTAATAATAATAAATGCCATAAATTTTCCATTTTATATTGTAAAATTATATGGAATCTTAAAAGTAATTTCAGAATTTTAATTTAACTTTGATTGTACATATTTTTTTTTTACAAGCATTTAAAAAGAATAGGAAATTGACAAAACTTCATAATTTTTAATTAATTTAATGAATAGAAGATAATATATTCAAAAGAATGTATTACAATATTATTATTTAAATACTAAAAAAAATTAAAAAATAAAACTGCTTCTACTCTGGTCTTGTGCACATGAGAACTGCAAAATGAACAAGAAAATGAATATGAACCACACATAAACCAAACCTTCTGTTAGGATAAGGTTTGTATGTGTATGCAGCTACGTTACACCCAAGAAACAATCAATGGCACCCCGTGTTACGTGCAACTTTT